GCACAGTAGCTAGAGAGCTGACAAGTTATACAGTCACCAAATTGCGATTATACCAGAGGGGTTTTAAGCCTTCGGACGCTCGTGGGATTGCAGGTCTGAGGGCAGCCTTCCACAAGAACGGGACACAAGGTACTACAACTCCTTTTTCAGGAGGAGTGGCTCTTGCCCTAAGCCTGCCATACAGCTGGTATCTTTACGATACTGAGCACTGCTTCCTGGGCCATAAATTCTTGTCCTGGTATAACTGTTTTTCCCTTAAATCATGCTCTGCACTGTGTCTGCTCTAGACATTCCTCCGACTATAAGTAAGATAAGATTATATATATATATATATATATATATATATATATAGCTGCTTATGCCTTAATTTATGCTCTGTACCGTGTCTGCTCTAGGCATTCCTCCCACTATGAACGAAGATATAAATAACTGAGTGATAAGATATTCTTCAGGCACTAATTGTTCTGACTATAAACTAATACATGATTATATATAAAGGATTATATAAAGGAAATAACTGAGTAGTAACACTATAAACTAAGATATTCCTCAGGCACTAATTGTGCCGGGGATCTGCTTAGCTCTCCTTCCTCGGTGTCTAGATGGAGGTTTACCCACATGTGGCCTTGCCTAAACCTCAATATATTTGCCCTCTTTATCTAAAAAAGCTTCTCTTTTTTTTTTTTTTTTTTGAGACAAGATTCTGCTCTGTCACCCAGGCTAGAGCACAGTGGCACCATTATGGCTCACTGCAGCCTTGACCTTCCTGGGCTCAAGTGATTCTCTTGCCTCAGCCTTCTGAGTAGCTGAGACTACAAGCATGTGCCACCATGCCTGTCTATGTTTTTTTTGTTGTTGTTTGTTTTTTGTTAAAGAGATGGGATCTCGTTGTGTTGCCCAAGCTGGTCTTGAACTCCTGGGCTGAAGCAATCCTCCTATGTTGGCCTCCCAAAATGCTGGGATGAGCCACCTCTCTTCTTTCAAGGGGCCACTTCTCTTCAGTTTCTGCCTGCCTTTGGCTGCCTTCTGATCCCCTTAAATAGGTTCCTATATTTTGTTCAGAATTTGATTCTTACTGGTGGGAGAGTTAGTCCAATGCAAGTTACTCTGCCATTGAGGCAGCTTTTCTTGCTGGAATAAGTATTTAAGGCTGTGTGTGTGTGTGTGCGTGTGTGTGTGTGTGTGTGTGTGTGTGTGTGTGTGTGTGTGTATTCCAGTAGCTTTACAAGTTTTATTTTCGTATAGTCATTCTTGTTCAGTTGCCCAATTTTCCTCATAATTTCTTTGACTTATTTTTATAGAGGTGTACTTTTAATTTTCTAAATGTTGTTTAGAGTTTTAAAGCTTACTTTAAAAATTGATTTTTTTTTAAATTGATTTTTTAACTTAATTGTGTAGTGGATCAGAGAATCAGCTTAATGTATTAAATGCTGTAAGAGATATCTTAAAATCTACCATTATTGTAGACTGGAGAGCTTTTTCTTGTAGTTTTTCAGTTTGTGCCTTTATGTATTTTTGAGGCTATATTACTAGGTACATGCAAGTTTAAAATGCTACCCTCCTGATGAACTGAACTTTTCAGCATTAAATATTTAGCCTCTTAATTTTTAAAGGTGCTTTCCCTTCTTTTCTTTCTTTGATTATTATTTATTTTTAATTACTATTTTTGAGATGTGGTCTTGCTCTGTCACCCAGGCTGGAGTGTGCTGGCACTTTCACAGCTCACTGCAGCCTTGACCTCCTGGGCTCAAGTGATCCTCCCACCTCAGTCGCTCCAGTAGCTGGGACCACAGGTGCACGCCACCACACTCAGCTAGCTTTTGTATTGTTTTGCAGAGATGGGGTCTTGTCATGTTGCCCAGGCTGGTCTCCTACTCCTGGGCTCAAGCTATCCGCCTGCCTCGGCCTCTGAAAGCGTTGTGATTATAGGCATGAGCCACTGCACCCAGTCTATATTCTTTTCTGTTAATGTAGCGACCTCAGCCTTCTCTTTCTTCTTTTTCATTAGTATTCATTTGATATATCTTTTCCCATTCATTTACTTTCAACCTTTCCACAAACAGTTTTTATTTTTTTCTGAGACAGAGTCATACTCTGTTGCCCAGGCTGGAGTGTAGTGGCACGATCTTGCTTCACTACAACCTCTGCCTCCTGCTTTCAAGAGATTCTCCTGCCTCAACTTCCCTAGTAGCTGGGACTACAGGTGCACGTTACCACACCTGGCTATTTTTTCCATATTTTTAGTAGAGACAGGGTTTTGCCATATTGGCCAGGCTGGTCTTGAACTCCTGGCCTCAAGCTATCTGCCTGCCTTGGCCTCCCAAAGTGCTGGGATTACAGATGTGAGCCACCACACCCAGCCCCTTTCTGCAAACTTTTGTTTCAGATGTGTTTCTTTGAAATAGTCCATGGTTGCATTTTGTTTTTCCTATAACAATCTATAACCTATGCCTTTTAATAGGAATATCCTGTTCATTAACATTTGTGATTAATGAAATAATTGGATTTATTCTGTCCTATTTTTTTATTATGATTTTTTCTGAGTTACCTATCCCTCCCTACCTCCCTTTCTCCCTCACTCCATTCCTCCCTCTCTCCCTCCTTCCCTCCTTCCCTTCCTTCCACCCTCTTTCTTCCTTCTCTTTCTCCTTCGTCCTTTCTCTTTTCATTCCTTTTCTATTCTTTCTTTCAACAGGGTCTTTCTCTTTTATCTTTCGTTCAAAGTCACTAAGATCTTTTTTGAGTTCATTTTATTCTTCTAGTGTCTTGAAAGTTTACCTTTATTTCTTTCAGTAATAGCCCCTTTTTTAAAGCATGCTTTGATGTATTTGGTATACTTGAAAGTAATTAATGTCTTTCTCACCTGAACAGTAAAGGATCTTAGAATGTTCTAATACTTACATCCTGGATTATATGCACTCATGGACTGTATCTTATTTTGAAAAGTTTCAAAAATCCCATAGAGATTTTAATACTGCTTTTACCGCCAATGTTTACTTCTGTTCACCCACATCTCTCTTTACTTACCTTCTCTTTGTATCTCAGAATATTCTTCTGATGTCATTTTCCTTTTTCCATAGTCTGTCCTTCAAATTCTATCAGTTCAGATCTGTTTGTTTAAAATGCCTGAGATTTCCTTTGACAATATTTTTACTTTACCTCTTTTGATGAAAATCTTTTTGCCAAGTTTACAATTTAAGTTTATTATTATTGTCTCATTATGCTTGGTAAATATAGAGAGGCTAGCTTTTGGCGTAATTACTCTTTTATAGGTAGTATGTCCTTTCTCTCTGGCTGCTTTATAAAATTGTCTTTAATTTTCTAAAGTTTGGTTGTGATATATGTAGATTTGTATTTATTTTTGTTTCTCTTTCTTGAGTTTTTTTGTGCCTCCTGAATCTGAGGATTTATATTTACTCATTTCTGGAAAACATTTTTGAAGTTTTTTTTTCCTTCATTCTTTCTGTTCTTTCTTTGTGGACCCTATTTGGAAGAATGTTGAACTTTTCACTTTTGCCTCCTTGTGCTTTAACTTCTCTTTCATCTAGTTTTCTTTCTTGCTATAGTTTCTTGAGCTCTGTTTTCTGTTTAGTATTTATCCTTTTCCATGTGTCTAATTATCCTTGAGTTTTACATTTTCATTATTGTTTTTGTTTTTGTAAATTCTGCTGTTATTTTTGACTTGGCCGGTCATTCGTAGTAGTAGTAGTCCTAGCTTCTTGATTATGTTTTTAATTTCTTTTAAAATTATCCCCACCTATTAAACATATCAGTTTTTCTATTCTTCAGTTAATACTTCTAGCATCTGAAAAATGTTTGATTCTCTCCCTGTTATTGGTTCTTTGTGCTGGCTGTTACTTACCTGGTCTTGTTTTTGTCATGTGTTTTATTATGATTTTTGTTCTGCACTCTCATTTGTTAGTACTGTATTTGTGGGAATTCTTTGAAGACCAGGTTGAGGATCCTTTCCTTTAATGTCCAGGAAGCTGAGGGAGCTTCTATCCCGGGTCTGTTTTATATTAAGCGTACTGGCCTGGGGTTTTTCAGGCCTACCAAAAATGTGAATTGCTGCTAAGCTTGTAAGTTTACTCTGCAGGGCCTGTGAACTGAATGCCCGTGTCTCTCTGAGGCTTTTCCCTCTGTCCCTGCATGAAGCCACTCTAACTGAAGCTCCAGTCTTCTGGAATCTTAGTATCTTTTGCACTTCCCTCTCAGATTTTGTGCTCTTACTTTGTTCCTGATCAGAGATGTTTTTCTTTCATTTCTTACAAACTCATTCATTATTTCAAAGGCTTTGAGAAAACTATTTGTCTAGCCTTTTTATTTCTCTGCAGTGTAAAGTGTTTGGGATCTCTGTATCTTGCAGTATTTGCAGAAACCAAAGTCCTGAGGTTTCTGACTTTCATCAGACTCTGCATTGCCAGCCGTGGTTCAACCCTGAAACAGCTTGTAAAGTCCTTTTCTACTCAGTAAACTGCTCTGTCGGTTGTGAGGGATGGTTGCGTTGTAGGACTCTTCATTTCTCGTACTGTGATTATGCAGTCCTGTGGCCTGACCTGGCTACCTGGATGTCATGTGTAATGTTCATTGAATGAAAACTTATCGTTAGGTTTTAGATGGCTGAATTGAACTTTGAGAGTACAATACTCTTATACATTTCGGGTTACCTGTATATTAATGCAGGATTGGTAATAAAAGAGATAAATGAATAAATATGGGTTGTGAGGTTTCCCATGGGATCCTCTCTACATTTGAGACTCTTGATTATGTGAGCCTATGAAGGGCAGTATTATGTGACATCATTGCTGAAGTTTCCCTTTTTTCTGTAGTCTCTCATAGACATGTTATATTACAATGCTCATTATCCAGATTGTAAAATAAGACATCTAAAATGTGAGGGAAGCTCTAAATATGTTAAGGTCCTCTTAACTAGGAGATATGTTTAGGGTGAAATGTAATGTGGATGGAGCATTCCAACACCTTTTTCTTTTACATTTCAGGCTAATGCTGATGTCCCTGTACAATGTGAGCATCAATTTGAAAGGCTTGAAATATATCAGCGAGAGTCCAGGATTCATCCCTTTGCTGTGGTGGCTTTTGAGCGGTAAGAGGAGTGGTTATCTGTACAGCTGCTAATACAGTTTATGCAGTAGTCCTCCCTTATCCATAGGAGATATGTTTCAGGTTTCCTAGCAGATGCCAGAAACCAGAGATAGCACCAAACCCTCTATATAACTATGTTTTTTAAAATTCATACATCTGTATGATAAAGTTTAATTTATAATTAGACATAGAGATTATAAACAACTAATAATAAAACAGAACAATTATAATAATAAGCCAGCACTGCTATTCTTGTGCTTTAGGCCCATCATGAAGTAAAATAAGAGTTACTTGAACACCAGTGCTGTGGTTCTACAGCAGTTGACCTGATAACCTAGAGAGCTACTGAGTGACCTAAAGGGCACATAGCATATGTACGGTGGTTATGCTGGACAAAGGAATGATTCATGTCCCTGATGGGACGGAGTGGGATGGCAGCACGAGATTTCATCATGCTCCTCAGAATGGTGCGCAATTTAAAACTTAGGAATTGTTTATTTCTGGAATTTTCCACTTGATATTTCCAGACCATGGTTGACTGCGGCTAACTGAAACTGCAGAAAGTGAAACTGTGGATAAGAGGGGCCTCCTGTATACCTGCTCTTCTGTAGCTGAAGGAAACGTTAAAGTATTAGAAAGTAGGATTGATTATCTCAAGATGTTATTTCTTTAAAAAATAAAGATTTCAAATTTTAGAAAATTCCTTTGTATGTTAAGTTGTCTCTAGTTTTGTTTCTGAAGTATTGCTTTCAATTTGGTTATGATTTACTGGTGTCCCTACAACACAAGGAAAAATTGTCTTATAAGACAGCTGGTAAACAGCATCAACATATCCCATTTTCTTTTAACAGCATGGTACTATATGTGGGTATGTGGCTCTATCAGGTAAAAGAGAAGACCCATTGTTAAAGAATTTGGGTAAAAAGAAATTGGAAAGACACCACAGCTCTGAAGAGAAGTACACATGTATAGTGTGTGCATGCTTTAAAATTTCTTTAAAAAGCTATCCTTACTGCTTCCCTTCCTCTTCACTCTTAACTACCAGTTTAACCTAAAGTTCTGTCCCAATTTCATCATAATTTTTAACACCGTCTGTCAATGAGTATACATTTCACCCAAGTATAAAAATAAATTAACTTTTCTTACTTTTTCATAATTCAAATTAACTTCTATTTTTTAGTGTCAATTCCATTTGGTGGTGAATGCTTTTTTTAAAAAAAATAGCTTTATTGATGTATAATTGACACGTATTAAGTTGCATATATTTAAAGTGAACAATTGACAAGTGTTGATATAGATGTCCACCTGTAAAATTACTATCACAGTCAAGGTAATGAGTAAACCCATGACCTCCAAAGGCACTTTGTGCCCCTTTGTGGTCCCCTCTTCCTGCTCCTCTCCTCCATGCTTTCCAGAGAGTGACTCGCCTCCTTTCTGCACTGTAGTTTCCATTTTCTGCAGTTTTATATAAGTGGAATCATATAGTTTGTATTCATTTTTGCTGAGTTTCTTTTGCTCATAATTATTTTGAGATCATCCATGTTGTTTTGTGTATTAGTAGTTTATTACTTTTTCTTGCTAAATAATATTCCATGTTGTAGATACACCAGAATTGGTGTATCCATTCAGCTAGGGATGGACATTTGGGTTGTATCCAGCTTTGGAGGTTTTGACTATTATATGTAAAGCTGCTGGGAGCATTTTTTTTTCCCATTTATTTATTTTATTGCATTTTAAGTTTTGGGGTACATGTGAAGAACATGCAAGGTTGTTGCACAGGTACACACGTGGCAGTGTGATTTTTTTTTTTTTGAGACAGAGTTTTGCTCTGTTGCCAGGTTGGAGTGCAGTGGCACGATCTCTGCTGACTGCAACCTCTGACTCCCTGGTTCAAGCGATTCTCCTGTCTCAGCCTCCCGAGTAGCTGGGATTACAGCCACGTGCCACCACATGTAGCTAATTTTGAGGTTTTAGTAGAGATGGGGTTTCGCCATGTTGGCCAGGGTGGTCTTGATCTCCTGACCTCGTGATCCACCCTCCTTGGTCTCCCCAAGTGCTGAGATTACAGGCGTGAGCCACCGTGCCTGGCTGCATTGTTGTACAAGTGTTCGCGTGAACATATGCTTTTGTTTCTCTCTGGCAAATACCTACAAGTGGAATGCCTGTGGCATATGGTAGGTGCATGTTAGTTTTTAGGAAACTGCCATCCTGTTTTCCAAAGTGGTTGTGCCATCTTACATTCCCAGCAGCAGTGTATTTGTGTATGGTCATTCTCTCTACTTTTAGACATTCCAGTAGGGATGTTGTGATACTTTACTGTGGTTTTAATTTGTATTTTTGCTATGACTAATGATGTTGAGTATCTTTTCTTGTTTTATTTGCCATTCATATAACTTCTTTGATAATAACTGTTCATATGTTTTGCTTATTTTAAAAAAATTGGATTGATTTTTACTCAATATCCAGAGTTCCTTTTGTATTCAGTTTGTGCATCCTTTGACAAATGTGTTGGAAAAATATTTCTTCCCAGCTTGTGGCTTGTCTTTCATTCTCTTAAGAGCATCTTCTGAAGAGCAGAAGACCTATCTTAAATGTGATAGAGTTTATCATTCTTTTTTTTCTAAGAATCATGCTTTTTTGTAGAAATTTTTTCCTAAATCACGAAGGTTTCTGATGTGCTTTCTTCTAGTAGTTTTATAGTTTGCATTTTATATTTAGGTATTTGATTTGTGGTGAGAGGTTTTTATTTATTTATTTATTTGCATAAGGCTTTCTAGTTGATCCAGTACCATTTGTTTTGAAGACTTTGTTCTCCAGCGAATTGCCTTTGCACCTTGTTGACAATCAGTTGACAATACATGTGAAGGTCATTTTGGATTTTGTTCTGTTTCATTCGTCTGTTTTTGATTATTATGCCAATACCATGCTTTATTTTTATGTATGTATGTATGTATTTTGAGACAGAGCCTTGCTCTGTTGCCAGGCTGGAGTGCAGTGGTGCGAACTTGACTCACTGCAGCTTCCACTTTCTGGGTTCAAGCGATTCCCCTGCTTCAGCCTCCTGAGTAGCTGGGACTAAAAGTGCGAGTCACCATGCCCAGCTAATTTTTTGTATTTTAGTAGAGATGGTTTTACCATGTTGACCAGGATGGTCTCGATCTCCTGACCTCATGATCTGCCCGCCTTCGTGTCCCAAAACGCTGGGATTGCAGGTGGGAGCCACTGTGCCTGGCCACCATACTTTATAATAAATCTTGATAGCTTTATAATAAATCTTAAAATCAGTAGTGTAAGTCCTCTAACTTTGTTCTTCTTTTTAAAGGTTGTTTTGTCTATTTTTAAGCCCTTTGCCTTTCCATTTGAATTTAAAAATCAACTCATCATTTGCTACCAAAAAGAATCCTGTTGGAATTTTTATTGGGATTGTGTTAAAGCAACAGTTCATTTTGGGGGAGAATTGACACTTTACCAATATTGAGACTTCCAGTGCATGAACACAAGTATATGTCTCCATTTATTTAGATATTGTCGAGACACAGGGTCTCTCCTGTTCGTGTGTTAAGAGCAGAGGAACTGACCTCCTTTGTTTTTGGCTATCTTTTCAAGGATGTGTGTATAGCAGACATCCTTAGTGGACAGAGATGCTGTCTCCTTCCAGAGCATAGGGTGGGTTTATTTATACCCATGTAGTAAAGATAATGCCCCTCTAGAGCAAAGTTCAGCCAGAGCTTGGGGTTCCTCTCCTGAGACACAGCCCACAGCATGTGTGTGGCCCTGTGGAATTGGGTCTTAAGCTGACATAAACAACAGCTCTGCCTATGGCTGTTGCTATAACAGGTTCTTGGTCTCAGACTCAAGAGTTTGTGTCTGCTGCCAGCATCTGTAAAACTCCAGTGTGCTAGCTTATTAGCTTGCAAGTGGTAAAGCCCTAGACCTTCCGCAGTTTGAGGGCAGGTCCAGGCTACGCTTGTGCTCCATTGATAACACTTACCTACCAGGGTTGGACAGCTTTTTTCCTCTCAAGAATCACAGAATCAGAGGTGGTTCCTAGTCCTGACCTATAAGGTAACTATCCGGGCTGGTTGTTAAGGACCATGAGCAAGCGGACAATGTTGGTTTGTGGGAGTGGATGGTGGTGGTGCCAGGGAGAGACTAATGAAGAATACCTAATACTTCTTGAGTACTGGTCATGGCTTTAAGTGCATTACTGTCAGTATCCTGTAAGGTAAATGTTGTCTTTGTATTATAGATGAAGAAACTGAGGCACATAGAGGTGAGTAAGGTGGCAGGGTTATATAGCTATGGGTGGTGGAGCTGGGATTTGAGACTCCGACCGCCTGGCTCCAGACTCTGTTTCCCAACCAATCTGTGGAACTGCTGCTCAGCAGGACATGGCTTAAGGGTAGAAGCCTTAGTGCTGGGTGACATTTTTTTGTTTGTTTTTTGAGACTAGGTTTCGCTCTTGTTGCCCAGGCTGAAGTGCAGTGGTGCAGTCTTGGCTCACTGCAACTTCCACCTCCCAGGTTCAAGCGATTCTCCTGCCTCAGCCTCCCAGGTAGCTGGGATTATAGGTGTCCGCCACTACACCCGGCTAATACTTGTAATTTTAGTAGAGATAGGGTTTCACCATGTTGGCCAGGCTGATCTCAAACTCCTGACCTCAGGTGATCCACCCTCCTCAGCCTCTCACAGTGCTGGGGTTACAGGCATGAGCCATCGCACCTGGCTAGTGCTGGATGACTTCTCACCTTTAGCTGACATTAGGTCTGGTTTTGCTTGGCTTCTGAATCAGTTCCCCTGAAACAATATGCCAGTCTCTACTTAGGCTAATTTGTAGCCAGTAATCCTACTTTCTCATAAGAAGAAGAGTTAAAGAAGAATTTAGGCTAAATGTTCTCTATGGCCCTTTTAGCTCTGGTCCTCCAGAAGATTCCTGGGCTGAGTGAAAATTGTGATGGGTTTCATCTTAATTTATGCAGTTCTGTCTATAGCAAGCAACCC